TTCAGATCTTAAAAAGATCTATTGTATTTACTGATTTTAGCAGATTGATCTTGGGTGGCGTTGCCAAGGTAAAAAATCAATTGTTTTCACGGCTACTCACAATCAGTTTTGATTTTGAGTAGCTGTGAAAACAACTGATTGTGAATAGCTGTGAAAACAACTGATTGTGAGTAGCCGTGAAAACAACTGATTGTGAGTAGCTGTGAAAACAACTGATTTTGAGTAGTTGTGAAAACAACTGATTGTGAGTAGCTGTGAAAACAACTGATTTTGAGTAGCTGTGAAAACAACTGATTGTGAGTAGCCGTGAAAACAACTGATTGTGAGTAGCTGTGAAAACAACTGATTGTGAGTAACCGTGAAAACAACTGATTGTGAGTATTCGTGAAAACAACTGATTTTTGGCAACTGACCTTGGCAACCAAAGATCAATCTGCTAAAATCAGTAAATACAATAGATCTTTTTAAGATCTATTTAAGATCTGAAACAGTTTTTTGTAAAACTTATATTTTTCGAGATATTTCACCGGTCCGATACTTTTGCCCCACTCTGTATATACATATATATTGCGGAAGTAAATATTTATTACATATATATATATGTAAAAATCGATTTTTATTTATTTCGTGAATAGATATCAATGTATCACTTATACGTCTTACTACTGCGGATGACCATATTTCACTACTTTGACCCTTTATATCTTGGGAAATATTGACTTTTGGAACTTGGTGCAATGATAACTTTTTATCAGCTTGGCGAAAACTATAACATAGTGAAATTTCAGCCAATTTGACCGAAAACTATTTTCCATAGGTTTTGTGCGGGATCCTTTCTAATACGTTGTTATGAAACGATTTCTATTATTAATAGTACATATATGCTTTGAATTAAATGTTGAGATATGTATGACTTTCCGAGTGTCAAGGATTAACAATCGGAGGTTGATAATTAATATACTAATTCAAATTTAAATGTGTGAAAGTATGAAAGTTTAATTAATGTCGGATGTTTTGGAGACCGAAACTGTTCAGACTCGTTTGATCATTTCTGCACAGAGGCGCACTAGCAGATAAGGCAGATGGTGAAACTGCAACATTCGAATTGGGAACTTATCAGGCGACCAAGCCTGCAGCTTCTATTGTCATACGAAAGGCCGACCAGAAGGCGAGTGTTGCAACACACAGTGGGACGTATTGAGTGTGCTGGAGGTAATAGCTCTTCGATTTTCAATAATTAAAATTTCTCGGGAAAATTAACGTCGCAAATAAACCGCAAATATATTTTTTTCTCGTCGCAGTAAACCTCTGATATTGACAAAACGTTTAAGAATTAAGAAATGAGTAGATTATATTCATAACTCCGTTCGAATATTACGCGCACGTGTTAAACATTAACGTATCCATTTCATAAATTTCGTATTACTGAAAGTCTTCAGTCAACTATATTTACATCTAGCATATTTCTTATGACTGTAAATTGATTCAGAAAGCGGGAACATGTTTTTTGGATCAATCAACGATGATGAATGACGCGTGACTAGAAATGAAAATAATTGGTCGAGAATGTTTCGACTCGATCTATTGAGAATCGATCTATCGAATGGTAAGATATCCGCGAGCCTGAGTGTACAGAGGGCGTAGCATGTCATCAATTGCGCGACCATCTTCGACCTTTTCGCGCCGAGCAATTGTCACTGACACATCGATCGATATCGCTCCGCGCATTTTACACATCTTTTGTCTGTCGAAAGTGAGTTTCGCGCGGAAATAAATATCGGGCGTGCCGAAAGTAGCGATGTACGATCGTCATCGGGACATGTAGCAAGGGCGTTATTAGTAAGTAATCTTCTCATTTTTCGACACATACGACCGCGTACTTGTCGCGAGGTATCAAGTCGGCATCTATCACTTTTATTATTATTTTCGACTCATTCAAGTACCAATAGAATCGAACGGTCGTCGGATTTACTAATTGGGAAATAGAAATACGGTAATATAATCAGAGAGAAAAAGAGAATGTCGCGACGTCAAATCTCGGAAAATAGCGTCGGTCTGTTAGCGAAAGAGAGAGAGAGAGAGATACGAAGCGCGTTATAAGTATCAGAGGGCGACACTATCACGTCGCTAGCACGCATTTTCGACGAACGTTATGTATCGCGCACCATCTTTGATATCGATCTTTCCATATCGAGCTGCCGTCATGAACGCATCGATTGACATCGCTCCGTGTGTTTCTTCCGTCTGTCGAAAGTTAATCCGCGCAAAAATAAATACCAGGAATGCCGATGTACGATATGCGATCGGAGACGTATCGTAAGTACGTTATTAGGCAGTAATTTTCTTATTTCTCGGCATACACGACCGGTGCTT